AAGCTCATTTACAATGTTATACGGGAACGTGATGTTCAAATTAGCCAACAGTGTACGCTGTTCAGTAAAATTGCTGCCAAGAGCCAGTGTCAGAAGGGTTCATTTGTTGGACTACTTAGACTACTTGTTTTTAGGGATACTTGTGTACAATATAATGCTAGATTTGAAGGCACAATGATTAGTATGTTTATACTTAAACATTCCCCCCCTCTCAATGATCAGTTATAACACTTAAGTGTGTGGCAGTGTGTGTACCTGCAATGCAGACCTCTGCCTGTTTTCCTTATTTGGCTGTGTTCAGGACTGTTATGGTAATTTAAGTGAAACAAGTGAATCACATCCAGGGTATTCCACTGTTTCTATAAATGTCTTGTATGTAAAATGTAAATTAAATGCCTTAATTGTTAAAGTTGCGACCCTCTTGCACTGAATGTTCATGAAAAAGTAAGATGTATGTCTTAACCAATAATTTAATTTAAAAAACTCTTGTTTAAATGATGTTTCTCTGTCACTGAGAGAATGAGCTCATAGTGCTGCTGATCACCATAAGCTAAACAGTCTGTATATTGCACTACATTTGTATAATGTAAGCTTTGTTGTTACTTTGCCTGCGAGAAGAAGAACAAAATAGTTAGATATACTGGATATTATTTGATCTATTCTACCACTTAATCCCAAATAATGTAGAGGTGTGTTGTAGGTGCCTTAAATAGTCCCTTATTTTATAGTGAGATGTATTTTTATGTTCATATAATAGTGATTTCAATGCCACCCCAACATGATCACTGGTCCCATCCTGGCCACCCCACTGAAAATGTCCTGGCTCCGCCACTGAACACAATGCCCGCCATGAAACACGGTTTTCTCATAACTTCAGTGAAAATGCACCAAATGGCCCAAAACTTCACAGGTTTGGTAACGTTGCAGCCATCAACGCATCTAAGCTTATTATTGGATGTCATCAAATGCCGTTGGCATGGCGAAAGATCATTCGCCATCAAGTTAGTTGTGAAGTTTGCGGTTCAAATATTCTGCTGCTATTCCAAGCCTTTTCACTTTATTTTCTTCTCTCATCACACATTCAAGCCCCCAGTGTTCATGTATCATTTCAATCTAAATTATTCTCTTTCCTTCTTACACATTACATTTCAGCACAGCAGTTTAGCGTCAGATTTTCAGCATAAAGCATTCCCACTAGCAATTTCTTCAGGAATTGCATTCTCTAGTTACATACTGATACTGATACTGATCCAGATGACATGTTTTTACACTCATCACACACTTCACTCACAACATTACATAAATAAAAGTTATTTAAAGTATGTTATGGCTATACAGTGTCTTGACTTGTTCATGTGGTTTTTCAGTTGCAACATACCAGAAGCTTCATGTATGTCGATATATAATGTATGTTCTGTAATTGTTCAGGTGAAAACCTGTTGTAATTTTTATCACTAAAAACAGGACTGAAGGAAAAAGGTTGTTTGTCATATCATAATATCAATTCAGGAAACATGTTTATTAGGAATGGTTGATTTTAAAATGGCTCATTTGGAATATTTGCTTTTTAAAGAAAATATGGGTAGCTCTTAAAAGAGCTTTTGGTTTGGAGACAATGGTGACCCTACACCACTCTATGCTGCCATCGCACTGCACCCTCCTCATTCAAATAGGAGCTGAAGGTCTCCCGCAGTTGGATGGATCTGCGTGTGGCATTGTTGGAGCCCATCCTCGGTGCATCACACAGGGTTGGAGTAGCTTCACCCGTGGACTTTGCGATAAGTGTGCATGATGGTCTTCCTATCGTCCTCCTGCGGAGGAAGTTGTGCAACACACAGGCGGCCTTCACACACAACTCTGTTACCTCGGGGCTGGTGGTGATGATACGCCTGAGCATTCTCCACTGGGATGAGAGGATGCCAAACGCATATTCAGCCACCAACCTGGCACGGCTGAGGCGGTAGTTGAACAACCTCCTTTCACGGGTGAGGTGACGTCCAGGGAATGGACGCAGCAGGTTGTCCAGCAGCGGAAAAGCCTCATCTCCAACAAACACATGGGGAAGAAGGCCCAGCCGCTCTGCTCCTGGGATGACAGTGTCAGGTGGTAGCTGCAGACTGCCATCTCTGAGGCTCTCTCCAAATGCAGAATTCCGCAGGCTCCCATTGTTGCTGCTCCTTCCAAAGCCTCCGACATCCACTACCCTGAAGAGGTACTGGGCATCCACTACAGCCAGTAGTACCAAGGAGTGGGTGGACTTGTAGTTGAAGTACAGGGACCCAGAATTGGCCGGAGCCTGCATCACCACGTGCTTCCCATCAATGGCACCAACGCAATTCGGAAAGTTCCAGCGCTCCTGGAACCCATCAGCGATGGCTCTCCAGTCCTCCGTCTGTGGTACCGGCATGGTCTCCTCGACCAGCGCGGTCAAGATGGCACCCGCAACCTCCTTCACAATGACAGCCACTGTTGCATGCCCGACCCGATAGCTGAAT